ACACACACACACACACACACACACACACACGCACACACACTATCCCAGAGCAATTTTAATGTCGGTGAGCATGACTTAAAAGTAGAAGCAGCAAACCATCTACTTCGCTTTGAGAGTGAAAAAGCGCAGCTTGCTGGCATGGCCTTCCCTACTGCAGCTGCCACTGCAACAAAGCCCTGCAGGTCCAGTCGTGCCCTGGGCATCTTTGCTAAGTCATGCCCTGCTGCCCAGATGGAGGCACTAGGTGGAGCAGCCCAGCTGTGTGTGGCATCCTGGAAAAATGTCACCTTACACTTCGGCTAGGAGGTGATCCACATACTCATAGCTTTATTTTAAAGCCTTCCAAATAAACGGACTCTTGGCAAAACTGACAAAACATCAACAAGAAAGGTCTAAGGCTGAGGTAGTGAAGCTGGGGGAGAATAGAGGAAAATGTGGATTCTAGAATGCTGTTAATGTAAATCAAGTCAGAAGCCTTTTGGGTGAGGTCCCCTCAGGTGAACATTAGTCACTTGGAGGAAATGAGCTGTTTTGTATCATGGAGACATGTGCTGTTAAGCCAAAGCTCGAAATTACATGGAGCTGAGTTGGAGTGGGAGATGCTGGCCTACTAACTACTACGTCCTGAAGAGAACCCGGTCCACAGCTATTTACCAGAATGATAAATCCCACCATGCTGAATCTTGGGCCTTCCTTCTCCCAGTTTCAAGCCACCAAGTATCCTTTGTGCAATGATGACAGCAAAGTCCAGATCATTTTATTACCTTTGGTTGAAAGTGTATTACCCTAAAATTTTCTTTTGAGGAGATGTTTTTCCTAGCTATCTCCAAAAGCTCATTGAAAAGTTATCACCATTTTTTGGTATTTTGTGGTCTTTTTTTTATCCTCTGGGTTCATCACTGTCACTAGTGTCTTCTCCATATACCACCTTATAATAAAACTTGCTTTTATTTCTAGCTCTAAGAAGCTATTGTGACAAATGAACATCACAGACACACAAAGTGCTGTAATATTTTGAAAGTTATGTGAAGGCTTTTGCCTCACTGTCTTGGTGCTCTAGTAAGCAGGGAGGCAAAGCATGTGATGAGAGCACATGCGCCTTTGAACCCTCTGCCGCATAAGCACTTGCATGGGATCTCGGACCCTGAGAGCCAGGAGTGTCTCAGACAGTCCCCAGTGGAGCACTTTCATTTGCAGCTGGGGAGGCCGAGGACCAAGGAGGTCAAACACCATGATCCCAGTCAAATGGCTATGCACTTTCTGACTGACCACCTGCGTAGTGACTGAGCACTGTCAGAGAATGAACATGGCCAAACGTCTCTGCTCTTGTTGTCAAGGGCTCCTAATAATAAAAGGATGGTAGAAGATAAAACTGAGGAAGACTAGGATTTCACACGGGTGTGAAAGATCAGCTTTGTGTTAGCCCCCACAGCTTCACAACCAGTCAGATTAAAATCCCTGCTTACCTGGAACAGTCATTTTAACTTCTTCTTTTTTAAAAATATGAGAATACCCCTTCCTCCAAATGAAAGAGTTAGGACACTTCTAGTTAAATAATAGAGTGGCATGTGGAATGTATGAAGGTGTCAGTTTCTGAAGAAAAAAAAAAGCAGGTGTATGCCTGTCATTGGGAAGACAACAACTATTTTTCAGGGTTAGATAGCACTCAATATTTTTGCTGACTCATTAAAATAAAAGCTGTTCAGAGCTAGTATTTCTTCTAGCAGCAGCTACCTGCATTTAAACAGTGAAAAGTTTTGTGGTACCTCTTTCTTCTGTTCAGAAAACCAGCTGGCATCTTTGTTTGAATCTTGCGGGAATAAGTGAAGGTCCACGAGGACAGCAAAGTTCCCACACTGAAAGACACAGACAGCAGCGTGAGCTCACGCCCAGCAAACAATGAGAGAAAGTCTCACAAATTCCTATGTGGCTGCTCATGGAGAAATGGCAACAGAGTTCACGACTAGACAGAAATGTTCATGGGGGCAGGGCTACAAGTCATAACCTGCTACTTTCTGTGAGTTTAACATTTGTAGTAGAACCTCTTGGGAGAAATATCATTTTAATCAGGACACAAAAGACAAAATATTTCCCTCTGGGCCGCACCTTGAAGGGGGATGCCCAGGCATCCGGTGGCAGCTGGAAGACTATCAAACACTGAGAGAAGTAAAATAGGTCAGAACTAGGCAGGCTCCAGAAAAGAACGATTCTGTGGACTGTCGGGAATTCTTTCTTCTAGGTGGGGGAGAACATATATATCAGCCTTTGCATTTTTAGATGGACAAAATATTTGGCTAAGACAACACACCTTAGACTAGAAATAGACATGAGCAATGGAAAAGCACCAAGGAGAAGAAGGTAGATGCTGAATGACAGTTATCAAAACTATATAAGTTTCATTAAAATACGCTACAGAACTGTACAAAGCCTGCCTCCTCTCTTATTCAATAGGCTAATGCTGACTGCACTTTTGAGAAAATGGAAATATTCTGTATGTGCACTGTTCATTAGGGCAGCCAACAGCCATGTGTGGCTACTGAGCGCTTGAAATGGAGCAATTTTCACTGAGAAGCTGAATTTTTAATTTTATTTAATTTTAATTTAAACAGCCACATGTGGCTAGCAGCTCTGTGGCATAGCTACAGACCCTGTAAAAAGCTGTAGCCTTATAAAGCCTCACACCTTATAAGCAAAATAATTTCTGAAACTCAGGATAACTGTAGAAGATCTAAATTAGAAAGAACTAGATGAGCAAGCTGCAGGTTGACGGTGGTGTTATTAAGAGGCCCAGAGGGTCTGTTTATGGCCCACAGGGAAAAGCCACTTTTGTATCTCTTTTGCTGAATGTTTTTCTTTTTTCTTTTTAAATTCTGTGCTATTGACACCTACCTCAGGCCATACAGAAAAATTAATCTGAGATGGATCATAGACATAAATATAAAAACCGAAACTATCTTTCTGACTTTACAGTAGAAAAAGATTTCTTAGACAGGACTCAGAAAGTACTAAATATAGAACAAAAATGATTAAATTGAACTTTGTCAAAATTTAAAACATTTGGTCATCAAAAGACACCATTAATAAAACGAAATGCGTGTCACACACTGGGAGATAATAGTCATAAACACGTATATCTGACATAAAGGACTGAACCCAAAATACATAAAGAACTTAGACAAATCAATATAGAAGAGGCAAATAACCCAAACTTGAACAGACACTTCAAAATAAGGTAAACAAATGGGTAATAAACACATGAAAAAAATGTTCAACATCAGACATCAGGCAAATGTAAAGTAAAACCACTAGGAGATACATACCTACCAGGATGACTAAAATTCAAGACTGACACGCCAATTGTTGGTAAGGATGTGGAGCAACCCAAGCTCTCATCCATTGCTAGTGGAAATGCAAAATGGTCAACCACTTTGGCAAATAGTTGGTCAGCTTCATATAAACATACCTTTATTTACGCACTGAATTAACAATTCCACCTCAGGTCTTCACCCAGAGAGATAAAACATATGTGCACACAAAGACTTGTAAGTAAATGCTCATGGAAGTTTTTATTCCTAATAGCCCAAATGGAAGACAGCCCATGTCTATCGACAGGAGTATATTCATTCAATGGAATGCTCCTTACCAAACCACTCAACATGGACGAATCTCTAAAGCATTATGTTCAGCAAAAGAGGCCAGGCTAAAAGAATACATACTGTATGATTTCATTTATATAAAGTTCTAGAACAGCAAAACTAAATCTATGGTCAAAGCAATTAGAGCACTGATTGCCTGGCAAGGAACCAACTGAGAACAGGCACAAGAGGACTTTGTGTGGTGATGGGAATATTGTATACCTTGATGGGGTATGTGCCTAAGAGCAATTCATTTCACTGTATATGTGAGTAAATAATACATCAGTAATGATTTTTTTTAAACGCTGGGTTAAAATACGATCATAGTTGTTAACAGTTATTTAAAATGTAAGTATTATTTCTCTGAAAATGTGTGGGTATTTTGGGGGCGACCAAAGTGAAATTCATTGGGTAATAAATCATGAGGTATGATGAAAGATGATCTCCTCTGTTGTCAAGCAGTGCAGTGTGATGCCTTGTGTTATAATAAGCATTTTATTTTAATGAAAGAGAATTGAAGGGACTATTGGAATAGAATTAAAAAATATCTATGGGTCACATGGTAAAGCTAAGTATTTTGTGAAATTTTTGTATGAGTGTACTGAGTTATATGTAAAACCTATTTCTTATTGTGGGTTGCTGTCAAAACTATTTGAAAACCATGTTCAAATACACTGTTATTTTAACAATTTCACAAAGGTTGATTATAGATTTAACCTTTAAGGAGTATGCTGCCACCAGGTGGAGGTCTTTTGCCACAACTATAGGATCTTAGCCAGAGTTTATTAACCTTTCGTGTGCCATGCATGTATTTGACCAGCTGTGAAGCTGATGAGACCTGCTCAGAATAATGTTTCTAAATGTATGAACAAAATGCATAGGATTCAAAAGAAAACCAATTTTACTGAAGTATAGTTATCTAACTTTTTTGTAAAAACTGTGATACAGTAACATATGAACTTGTTTATTACGGCATTGGCTCTTCTCACATAGCAGTGGATGTAATAACTACTATAAATCCATAGTAGTGATATTTTCAGAATGTGCCACAACTATAACATGGAAAGAGCTATGCTTTGTAACGGTGACAGATATTGCGATTACTCTTGTGTTCTGAATACTTCATCCATAACAAAAGCTACATTTATTAGAACTTGGTTAAAATAAAGGTGTTAACTTGTTTCCCATCCGAGCTCACTGACCCTGTGAATTCTATGACGGGCCCCTCCATGGACTGCAGAACAAGAGCCCCTCTGAAGCAGCAAGGTGTGCCTCGCACACGTTTTACCGCTTTTCCTATCGGTGTTCTGCCCCGACTCCCCAGTCAAAACAAGGTCTCTGCTAACCCTTCTTCATTAGCAAAAATAATTTTTAAAATAGAAAAAAAAAAGAAAAAGAAAAAGGAAAATAGTGACGCTCAACAATGTGAACTGATACCTTGTAATAGTAACTTTTAAAGAATTAAACAGCAAGGTCTAACTTGGTATTTTCTCATCATTTTGTTAACTTTGATCACAAATAACCTAGTACAAGTTGATTATAAACAGACTGATTAGAATGTCTTCTTTTTTTTTTTTTTTAATAAATCATCAACTCTTACTCTGGTGCCCAAACTTTCCTGGGATTTCTGCCAGACTCCACAGCTGGGCACGCATGCAGCCCCCTCCCCCACAGCAGGGTTCTCCCTCTGCGGCCAGCAGTTCTGAGTTCTCCAGCAAGAGCTCTGTCAAACTCCCACACTAATCGGAGGTATTCTGCCTTTCTAAAGTTCCCTGCTCTCAAAGCTTTGCTGCCTCTTTTCTCCCAGGAGTAAACAGAAGTTTTTTTTGTTGTTTTTTGTTTTGAAAGCCTCTTATGGCTGGCTGCCAGCAGCACAGCCTGCACTTCTTAATTAGGAGGAGGTTATTTCTACTCTCGGCAGATAAACTCTCCAGCTCTCTTCTAAGAGGAGCCACACACTGACCGTCACTCCTTTCTCAGGCCAGAGCTGCTCATTTTCCCCAGGCCCAGTTACGTCTTTAACAGCCCAGAGGCTACTACTAGAAAAAGCCTCCCATCCCATGCGCTGGACTGTGCATCAAAAGGCCAGGGTCTGCTCCAGCTTCTGGCCCCTTCACCCAGAGCGTTCAGCCAAAACCCTGGGAGTCAACCCTAACTCCTCCCTTTCCCTAACCTTCCACAATCAGTCACCAAGTCTAGATTTTACTTCTTAGAGAGCTAAACACACCCCTACTCCCCTGCTCTGCAGCTCACATCATCTCCCATGTGGAATACGAGGGCCGCTTCTCTTGGTGTCTGGATGAACTCCTGATGCCCCTACCAGAGCAATCTCCAACATAACACGGGAGCAGTGCGCTCTGCTGCGGCTCTGAGCACACACAGCACACAGCCTCTGATGACACCCCACTCTCCCACTGCTCTTGGGCACCTGCTGTTTTTGCGCTTTGCTTCCTATGCACCTGAGAGTTCCCGGGCTTAGTGAATGCCTCTGTATCCTCAGCCCTGTAGCAGGCCTCTCTTGGAGCTTTTCTGAACAGTCTGTCACACCCTCAGGCTCAGGCACTCAGGCACATGTTTCACGTGTTTATCTGTTTCTGCATTAAATGGCTGGTTCACACAGGGGCTTCCCCTGCGGGGCTGTTAGCTCCTGGGTGGAGACTGTCCAGACCTCAATCTCTGCATACCGATTAGCATAGTACCAGCTCACAGTAAGTGCTCAGTATTGAATGAAAAGAAGAAAGGCATGAACAAATGACAGGGCAAATGAGCTCTGAGTTTTGGGCAAACTACAGCCTTATCTGCAAACTGAAAGCTCTGAGCCCGCTCTGGGGACAAGGCCATTCTGATTCAGTCCAGGGCACTGATGTCTCACAGAACAGCTTCCTCCTTCCTTACTCTGGAGTGGCAACTATGTCATCACCAGTGACAACCAGTCATTTTCCATATTTTGAAAAAAAAGAAATAATAGGATCCTAGGATTACCTCATGCTAAACTCACTGCCAGCCAAGCAGGTTGGCGATTTTTCCTACCTCTTTCCTAAGAATTCCAAAGCTGCATCTTGAACTATTTCCAAGTCTTCAGAGGTGGAAGATGTCTCCTAATTTTATATCGGGTGTAAAATGAAGGCAAAATGCTAACAGGTAGACATCTCAGAAGCAGGTTCAGAATTCTGAGATATATGGGAGGTTTCTCATATTCTCTCATTCATTCATTCCCCACT